GAAGGGGAGAAGGGAAGAAAGAAAAGAGGAAGGAAAGAAAACGAAGGGAGAGAGAGAGGAAAGAAAAGAAGAAGGGAAGAAAGAAGGAAAGAAAGAAGGGAAGAAGGAACAGAGGAAGGGAGTAAAGAAAGGAAGGAAGGAAAAGAAGGAAGGGAGAGAGAGAGGAAGGAAAGGAAGAAGGGAGGAAGGAAAGAAGGAAGGAAGGGAGAGAGAGAGGAAAGAAAGGAAGGAAAGAAAGAAGGGAGGAAGGGAGGGAGGGAAAGAAGGGGGGAGGAAGGAAAAGAAGGAAGGGAGGGAGGGAGGACAGGGAAGAAACAGAAGCAGCAGGCCGCTGTGTGTTCACACCTTGTGGCTATTTGTCCACTAGGGAATGGCTCTCTGCTTCTTTCTCTTTTTTCATCACCAGGTTCCCCTTTGTTCTTTTACTGTTCCATCAGTGGCCAGAACAACTCTGTTCTCTCTTGTAATAAGGGTGCAGCCTGTGAAGGGGACTACTTTGAGAGGGAGAGCTGAGCCCCTGAGGTCCGGTGGAGAGGCTGGCTGGGCAGTCAGCGGCCCTGGCCCTTTCTCCCCTGGCTGACCTTGGCCGCATCCCCCTGCCTCTGGGCTGGGGGCCTCTGGGCTCCCTCTCAGCTGTAAATCTGTGAGTTCACCACGGGCGACCATGAGTTGTTATTATTTCTCCACTGACATCTTTGTCCGGCTCCTCAGCGTGGGCTGGCCTGACCTTTCTGGTGTCTCCACCTCCATCCACAGCCCCGCCCCCTGCGCCCCCTGCGGCGTCAGGCCCGCTTTGCTTTTTGCCTGGACTCTTGGGGTGGCCCCTGCCTCAGTCTATCCCCGCTCTACTTCATGCACTCAGTGCCCAGGTCTCTTCTCTGCTCGAGGAATCTCTGTGGCTCCCTATTCCCTTCAGGGAGAGAGGACAGATGGCTCATCCCTCAGGAGTCCGGCCTGGACCCCCGTGGCAGAGCCCCAGCCCTTAGGGAGAGTCAGGGAGGGGGCACCCCAAGAAGACTGCCAGTGCTGGGCCTGGTGACAGACTTTCAGTAGCTGCAGGGGGATGACGTTTTTGGCCGGAGCAGCACCGTGGGTCAGGGGAGGGGGAAGCCCAGGGCTGAGCTCATGGAGCCTGGGAGGTGGAGGCTGCCTGGGCAGAGCCTCCCAGCCCCGTGAGCCTCCTTTGTGCGGGTTGGGGTTCCAGATCATCCACCCCTCCCCCACTCCAGAGGCAGCTTCCTTCCTGGGCCAGGCCCCAGCTAACCTCAGCCGTGTTCAGGAAACGTGGCTGGGAGCCTGGGAGCCTGGGAGTCACGTTTCTGGGGCCCCTGGCCCTGCGCTTTTGGGAGGACTGCAGTGACGGGTTCTCCCCGAGCTGCAGCCCATCGGCTCTTGTTGAAGTGACGTTTGAAGACTTCGGGGTTTTCCCCAGTTCTGGCCAAATGAGCCGGCCCCTTCCCTGCCTCCTCTGGCGCTGTCCCTCCCTGGCCTCAGACCGCAGCGTCATTCTCTAGATTAGATCTCACCCCCATCTCGTGCTTTTATCTTTGAAGCTCCTGGCTTAAGGTTTCTTGTATTTGTGTTTGTGCCGAGGAGCTCACGGAGCCGTTCCGGGCACGGGACGAGGGGCTTTGCGAGCCTGCCGTCTGAAGGCTTTGTGCTGGGCAGTGAGCTCCTTCACCCTCCGGGCCCCATCCCCCACCATCTGCCCCTGCGGGGTCCCCCCCTCGTTCCCCTGACCGTCTCCAAGGGTTGGGGCACCCTGGGTGTTCAGGCCCCCCTCTGAGGGATGAGCCGTCGTCCCGATCGCGTTGTGATCTGGTCTGGGCAGCGCTGGGCAGCGTCGGGGCCGTACGGCCGAGTGTCGGACGGCTGTGCCCTGGGCCAGCCCCCTCGTCGTCCAGAGCGGGGAGGACTGCCTGGGGTCACACAGGCGCCTCCTGCCAGCGCTGCCCTGGATTCCCAGGTTGGCCACAGTAAGGGCAGTGTCCGGTTGGGGGAAGGCCATTCCTGAACAGCTCTGCCAGGCATTCCAGTGAAGTCGACGCTGCCCGTGAGTGAATCACTCTGGTTCTGGGCAGAGCCGCTGGCTGAGGCTGCCTCCTGGGTGCCGGCCAGCCTGTGGCGTCGACGGGGCGCCTCCTGGGCAAGGGTGGCCAGCCCGCTGAGCCGAGCCGAGAGGCTCCCTCGGCCTGCTCCAAGGCCTCTGCTCTGGTCCACTGGCTTGCCTCGCTGACCTCCAGCTGTTGAGAGCTCTCCCTGAAGGGCAGAGGCCACTGGGCCCTGGCTTGTCTTTATTTCTTACCAAGGCAGGAAAGTTCCCATGAAAAAATCATGAAGTTAGCTTGGGCCGTGCTGTGCTTTGGAGAGACCTGAACTCAGAGTCGGAAGGCCTGAATTCAAGTCTCAGCTCTCCCTCTTAGCAGCTGCATTAGCCACAGCCACAGCAGCTTGTATTGCTAGGAGACACTGTGGGCCACTGCAGTCAAAGGACCCGGATTCAAATCCTGCCACGGATGCGTACAGTTTGTGTGACCTTGGGCAAGTGACTGGATCTCTTGGACATGGCAGTTCCCTTATCTCTGAACTGAGGCCTAGATGGGCTCTAAGGTTATTGCATCCCTTCCCCTCTCTAGGGGCTCAGTTTCCTCATCTGTAAAATGGGGGGTTGGACTACATGGCCCCCAAGGTCTCCCCCAGCTCCAGATTCTGTGATCCTTGGGAAAACCCCATTTTCCCAATACAGCCCATTTTACGGAGAGGGAAACTGAGCCCCAGAGAGGGGAAGGGAACTGTCCCATGTCACACAGCTAATAGTATTACAGCTAGGATTCAGATCCAGCCCTCGTGACTCCATCTCCAGCATTCTTTCCGTGACAATCCTTTAACTTCTCTTGGCCTCAGTTTCCACATCTGTAAAAATGCGTGGGGTGGTCAGGATGACCCCTCCTTCAGGGGTCCTCCAGCTCTGACATTCTGTGACTCAATTTCTCTCCTCTGTGTCCAGTTGCCGACGCCCACCGGGATCTTTGCATCAACCAGGCCGTGGTGTTTATCGAGGACGCCATCCAGGTAGGGGGCTGGGTTGTGGTGGGGGCTGCCCCTGCTCCTTTGTCCCTCCGGCTTCCTCCCCTTTGGAGGAGGAGGTGGGGTCAGGGCCTGGGGAGCGGGAGCCCCAGAAGCCCCCGCCCCATGTTTGCGAGAGTGTGCCAACCAACCCCCCCCGCCCCCCCAAGGGCCTGGCTGAAGTGGCTGCACATGGAAATGTGACCATTGCTTTTAGAAATGGTTTTCAGTTTGAGGTAGAGCAAGGCTCCTGAGTGTGCTTTCGCTCCCTCCCGCCAGGGGTGGGCTCTTCTCACACGCAGATGGGGGTGGGGCTGAGAGAGTGTGGAGGGACCTGCCCCGTGCCCAGGCACATGGCACCCCTCGAGAAACCCACACATGGTGGGCATCTTGGTGAGAGTAGAAGCTTATCCTTTTAAGGCTGTGTTTTCCTTCATTTTTAACTGCCTACACATCTTTAAATTTTTATTAAAATTATTTTATTTTATTTTCTGCCTTTTTTTTTTTTTTTGTGAGGCAGTTGGGGTTAAATGACTTGCCCAGGGTCACACAGCTAGTAAGTGTCAAGTGTCTGAGGCTGGATTTGAACTCGGGTCTTCCTGACTCCAGGGCCGGTGCTCTATCCACTGCGCCACCTAGCTGCCCCTAAATTATTTTATTGAAAAAAATTAACATTTTAATTTCTATTGCTGCCTGTTGTATGTCTCACCCCCATTCATTCCTGAACAGATCCCTGCCCCTCCCCCATGAGCCAGCCCTTCTCACACAGAGAAAAAAGAAGAGAAGAAAAAAAGCAAAAAGCAGGATGTAAGAGTGTATGCAGTATCCTGCACCCATTGTCCCCCATCTGGGCAACCCAGGGAAGGAGGAAGATTTTCTCTCCCTTCTCTGGGTCCATTTTAAATTTTTTAAAATATGTGTTATGTTTTACACACACACACACACACACACACACACATATGTATATATGTGTGTGTGTATGTATGTATGTGTATATATATATATGTACACACACACACACACACACACACACATATATATATATAGTATGTCTCCCAGTATCAAATAGAATCTATTCAGTGCAATTTAATAAATTCTCACTGATTCCTGGAATTCGAGCACTTAGCAGAGTGCTGGAACATAGTTGGTGTAACTGATCTATAATAGTAATAATAATTAATTAATTCTGGCATGCTAATACTGATCAGTGAATCGCCTGCACACTGCCTGACAGTTCTGAAGGTCAGCTCTCATGGGCCAGGAGTGGGACCAAGATTCTGCTGCTTTTAGGGTTTGACCCTTTGCTCGCCAGACTTCTTGTCTGTCTCTTGGCCCTCCCCTGGCTGTCACCGTGTCCTTGTTTCTAATGCACGGCCTGGGTTTTCACCTGGAAGGCCCGAGTTTGGCGGCCCGGTCTCTATTTCCTGAAGCCCCTGAGAGTTGAGCTGGTCAGGAGACTGAGCCCCAGCTGTGGGCTGTGCCACCTGGGCACCCACCTGGCCGCCTCCCGCGGATGACCCAGCCCTGAAGGGGGCAGCATAGGTGGCCGCAGGGCAGGGACCCCGGCCCCCAGCTCTTCTCCCGTCTGCTTCCCCGAACCCCGCGTGTCAGAAGCTGTTTCCGTCCCAGCGTGTGGTGTCCCCTCACCGTGTCCGACTTCTCATTCCAGTACCGTTCCATCAATCACCGCATGGACTCCACGTCGCTGGCACTGTACCGATGGCATTACTCACGCATCTGCCAGGGGTGAGAATTCCCTCACTTTACTCGTGGTTTTCCCAGTGAGCTCTGCTGGATTCTGTCAGGAATCATAGTAATAGTGCCCCCAGCACTTCCGTGGGGCTCCATCCATTTATAACTCTTAATGATCCTGGGAGGGCAGTCTGTACTGCAGGGAGGGGGGTGCCCATTTTAGAGATAAAGAAACTGAGCCTCGGAGACGTTAAATGACTTGCCCAGTCCCTGTGCCTCCTTGCCGTTGATTCCTGGGGCTGGGGCTGGGGCAGGATCTGCAGAGCCAGGCAGGGCTGGAGCAGGGAAGGCCATGAGGCTGCCCTGGGGGCACCCAGTGAGGACGCCTCTGATGCTTACCACCTGTGAGGCTGCCCTTGGGGGCATCGCTTTTTTCCTAGGCCTCAGTTTCCTCATCTGTAAAATGGACTCAGTGGTCTCTGAGGCTTCTTCTGCCTCGACATGTGGGTCCCATGATCAGGATCAGAGTGGGCAGGAGGGCATGGGGCAGCTCGGCGACTACCCCTGTGCTGCGGCCAGGCCTGGTGCTGCAAGGGGAGACACGGAGACTCAGGGGAAGGCTCCCGCCAGGAAGTGGGGGGCGGGAGTGTGTCTACACTGGGCTGGGGAGGGGACTGGTGTGCAGTTAGATCTGCCCAGCCCTGCCCGGGGTCCTCAGTCTGTCTTCCCTCCGTACTTCTGGGAAGCTTGGCCAGCTCCAGGCTCGGGGCGGAGCGGGGCGGGGCAAGGCTGGCCTCCGGTCCCCTCATCTGGGTAGTCTGTGAGCAGGACCGCAGGCCTTGTCCTCGATCCAGAGGGTGGCCATGGTGGGCTCCTTGGGCCGCCCTTCTGTGTCGTCTGAACGGGACCAGTTTATCGAGGATTCAGACCGCGGCTGACCCTTGGCGAGTAGGGCGGGCCGTGCAGGGTCTTGCAGGATCACTGGACGCAGGGCCATCCGACTCTATAGAAGAGTCAGCTGAGGCCCAGAGAGGGCGAGGGACTTGCCCAGGGTCTCACAGCCAGTCAGTTGTAGAGCAGGACCCTGGGCTCCACGCGTGGGGCTTCTCCCACTGCCCCGTGTCAGCCATGTGGTGGCTGGCCGTGGCCAGGCTGCCCTTGTGGCGGGGCTTGCGGAGGGTCGGCCCGGCATTTTCATGGAGCTCTGGCTTTTCTCCTAGGGTTCTCAGTTTCACCATTTTCCTGATCCTGTCTCTGGCTTTCATCGAGACCCCTTCTTCCCTCACGGTCACCTCGGACGTCCGCTACCGCCAGGCCCCCTGGGAGCCTCCGTGCGGCCTGACGGAGAGCGTCGAGGCGCTGTGCTTCCTGGTGTTCATAGCGGACGTGTCCATGAAGGTGAGCCCGGTGTGGGGGAAGGGCTGCCCCAGGGCTCCTGGCGTCCCCCCCCCCCCCCCCCCCCCGTGTCCCCCCCCCCCCCCCCCAACCCATCTGCCTGGCATGCTGGGAAATCATCTGTGCAGACGCCCTGGCTTTTGTCCTTTTAAAACCTGCTCATTGAAGTCCTTTGTCGTGAAATGGCCTTTGCTTTGTTCTCGTCCTCTCCATCCCAATTCTTACAACAAAGAATGACAAAGAGGAAAAGAGTCTTGACAGTGTATGCACTGTTCTGTGCCTGCAGACCCCCACCTCTGCAAAGAAGACACGTTCTCTCCCTCTCTGTCTCTGTCCTCCCCTTCTCTCTCTCTTTCTCTCTCTTGTCTCTCTGTTTCTTTCTCCTCCTTCACTTCTCTCTCTCTTCTCCCCTTCTCTCTCCCTCTCTCTTTCCCTCTCTCTCTCTCCTCCCCTTCTCTCTCTCTCTGTATTTCTTTTCCTTTCTCTCCCCTCCCCTTCTCTCTCTTCTTCTCTCTTCTTTTCTCTCTCTTCTCCTCCCCTTCTCTCTCTCTCTGTATTTCTTTTCCTTTCTCTCCCCTCCCCTTCTCTCTCTGTCTTCCTCTCTCTTCTTGTCTCTGTTTCTTTCTCCTCCTCCCCTTCTCTCTCTCTCCTCCCCTTCTCTCTCCCTCTCTGTCTCTCTTTCCCTCTCTCTCTCTGCTCCCCTTCTCTCTCTTCCTTTCTCTTCTTCTCTCTCCCTCTCTCCTTTCTCTCCTCCTTCCCCCTCTTCCCCTCTCTGTCCCCCCCTTCTTTTCCCACCCCTTTCCAGCTCTCCCCTTCTTCACTTTCCATGTCTCTGGGCCTCAGTATCCTCATCTGTAAAATGGGGGCTGTGAGCCTCGTGGTCCCCTGGGCTTCCCCGGCTGCCTCCCAGGACGGAGAAAAGCCTGATTTCCCCGGAGGCGTTGAGAGCGTCTCAGTGTGTGCCTTGGTCTTCTAGAGCTATTTGATTGGATGGAGAGAGTTTCTGAAGAACCGCTGGCTGTTGGCCTACATCGTGGCGCTGGTGGTGTCTCTGACCGACTGGACCGTGTCCTTGAGCTTCGGCTGTCGGGAGGTGAGGGGAGGGGGCTGCGGAGGACGCGGCCTGAGATGGGAATGACCCATGGGGAGGATGGGGCGTGTGCTCACACACGTGTGCCCGGCGTGCCGTTGGTAAACACCTACTGTGTGCAAGGCCCCTGAGGATGGGAGGTGGGACGAGGTGGGGGCAGGGGGCGGGGCCGCTCCTGGATTGGGAAGGGGCCTCCGACGGGGGTCTCACTCCCACAGGATCCATCGAAGCCATTCGGTGAAACTTGGTTCAATGAATGATTTAGAGGCGGGGCGGCTTGTGGAACCCCGGCCTTTTTCATGCTGGAAGGGGCAGAGGCTGAACCAGGAATCCCTCCTGCCCATGGTCGCCTGGCTTCTGGTGGGGAGCCCCTGGTGCTGGGACAGTGTGTCCCAGCGTGGGGCGGCCGGCTCTTCAGAATGGAGCCTTCCTCTGTAACTCCTTCTACCCCACCCGCCCCCATGCTGGTTCCGCCCCTGGGGACGTCCCTGTTCCAGCTGGGCGCTTCGGGACCCAGGATCCTCCTCTCTTTCAGACGCTGCGTGTCCGCCGGCTCGTGCGACCTTTTTTCCTTCTCCAGAACTCTTCCATGATGAAGAAGACGCTGAAGTGCATCAGACGGACGCTGCCCGAGATGGCCAGGTCTACAGGGGGGTGGGGTGGGGCGTTGGATACTTCAGCAGTGGGGCATGCTGCGGGGCCCAGAGCTCTGAGCCCGGAGTCAGGGAGAGCTGAGTTCCAGTCCAGCCTCAGACGCTTCCTAGCTGGGTGACCCCGGGCAAGTCACTGAAAAACAAAAACCAAAACCCTCGGTTTGCCTCAGTTTCCCCGCCTGTCAAATGGGGATAATAACCACCCTGGCTGAGGTCCAAATGAGGTGACATTGAGAAGGCACGTTGTAAACCTTAAAGCATTATATGAATGACGTCTGTTCCGTGTGTGGGGGCCAGGAGGGGGCGGAGGGAGCACAGGAAGAGCATCTTCTGTACCTGGGAGTCGTGGTGACCCAGACCTGGAGCTGGGCCTCCCAGCTGGGGAGGTGCCTTGTCTCCCCGTGGGGGCCAGGTGCCGGGGGTCAGAGTCCCTGCCCTGGTGGTCCCGGCGACCTCGGCCCCTTCCTGGCTGTTCGCTGACCCTGCCTTACCTGGGAGGGCCCGTGCCTCCTCGGGGCTGGTGGCGCTGGGCTGCTGCCTGAGCATCCGGCTTTGAGATGGCAAGGCCCGGTGGTAAAGCCACCCGCGGGGACCCCTCTGCATGTGCCAGCAGGATGACGATCCCCTCAGTCCTTTCCTGTTGTCACAACCGTCCCTTGACTTTAGTGCCCAGGGCGCCTATGGGCGTAGAGCAGAAAGGACCCCAGCCCCAGTGGGGCTGGGGGTGCTGAACCCTTTTTTCACTTCAGGCACTGGGGATACAGCCAAACGTGTCACACTGCCTGCCCTCCAGGAGGTTACATTCCATGGTGGGTCATGGTGGGGGGCGCATTAGAGAAAAGGAAGATTGAAAGAAACTGAGGCGTCTGCGGCTCACAGCATTTCAGTGACTTGGCAGTTGTTAGATCCATAATAGAGAAGGCAGAGAAGAAAAAAATAAGCATTTCTATAGTGCCTACTGTATGCCAGGCGTTGTATGATGTGCTTTACAAATACGGTTTGATTTAATTTTCACAACAACCCTGGGAGGGAGGGGCTGTTATTATCTCCATTGTACAGAAGAGGAAACCGAGGCAGCAGAGGGTCACCCAGCTAGGAAGTGTCTGAGGCCGGATTGGCCCCGTCCCCGGGCCCTGATCCCTCCCCGCTCCTTGGGGCTCTCCAGCCGGGGAGCTTTGTTTCTTTCTGGGGCAGCTGCCCCCTTCCCTGGGGGGCGGCTCGCGGTGGGGAGGGCGGTCCCTTTGGCCGTCTCTGCCGTTAGGACTCGGCCCCTGGCGAGCGGGGGTCTGAGCCAGGCCGGGCGGGGCACGTCTGTCCCCTCGGCCGACCTGTGTCCCCTCGGGGCTCTCCCCAACAGCGTTGCGCTGCTGCTCTTTGTACACCTGTGCCTGTTCACGATGCTCGGCATGCTGCTGTTCATGCGGGAAAAGGTGAGGGGGAAGGGTCCCACCCGTGTACTGGCGCCCTCCCCTGCTGCCGGGGTCCTGGGCCCAGAGAGGTTAGGCGTCTGCCTGAGGTCACACAGCCAGTAAGACTCCCGAGCCCAAGGCCAAATCATGCCCGTCACCAGGCGTTTACTGGGCCTCCCCTCTCCCCTCCCTTCCACTCGTCCCTAGCCTGGAGCCCTCTTTGGCGTGAGGCAGCCCGGGAGAGGACTGAGCTCTGGCCCTTCCTGGCTGGGTGACCCTGGGACAATAACCGCGCTCCCTCAGCCGCCATTTCCTTGTTTGTAGCCCCACGGCAGCCCCCGGCATGGGTGCTCTTGTCCCCTTTTACAGATGAGGAAACCGAGGCTTCTGGGGGGCTCGGTCACTTGTCCGGGGCCCCCAGCGAGTGAGCGTCAGAAGTGGGATTTGAACCCAGGTCCCACAGTTCCAAGTCCCCTGCTGATTGGCTCTGACCCTCTGCCTCTGAGATACTAACGCTCGTGATGAAGAGGAAGATGCCCAGCATTTATATTGTAATTCAGGATTCTTAATTGGCTTTACATGTGGTATCTCATTGGATCGAGTACGGATCCTCACAGCTACCCTGGCAGGGGGATGCCGTCATCATCCCTACTTTATAGTTGAGGAAACCGAGGCAGGCAGCGGCGAAGGGGCTTAGGTGGGGATCCGTGTCAGTGGGCTTCCTCTCCCCGTGTGCGGACGTCCCCAGGAAGGGAACCGAGCCCGGGTCTTTCCTTTGGGTACCAAGGCCTGATGTGTGCCCAGCAGCCTCATTTGGTGGCTCTGGGCGTGACGGGGGCATCCCATCTGCCCCCAGGTGCTCCTATGCTCCTCCTCCCAGTCTCCCCCCCGCAGTCCCCCATGCGAAGGCCCTGTGTCTGTCGATGATGGTTTGTACCTGGCTGTCTGTGTGTCATCTCCCCCATCGGACGGGCAGGGACTGCCGGGTGCTTAGCACAGTGCCTGGTGCATAGTGGGAGCTTCATAAATAATTTTATTGGCTGACTGGCTGACATAGGCACAGACCACCTGTGTGGCTTTAGGCTAGAGGGACCTTGGAGGCCTTCTTTTATAGAGGGGGAAACTGAGGCCCAGGGAGCGACCCGACCCAGGCCACACAGATAGCGAAAAGCAGGGGCTGGATCTGAACCTGGGCTGTCTTCCTGCCCAGCCGGGTCTCTTGGCCCTTCTTTCCCCCAGGGGATGGGCTTGGCTCAGTCAGAGTCCCTCATACCTTGCTCCCCTCCCCCACCCCTGTGTGTCCTCAGCCCTGGGCAGCTTGGAGGCTCTGGGGAGGATGGGCCCAGCCTTGGGTTTCTGCACGGTCTCAGAGACTCCCAAACCCACCTTGTCCCGACGCAGGATCCCCGCTCCGTCCCCGGTGGCCTTCCAGGCTGTTTGGAGATCTCTGGGACAGTGGGGGCGGGGCATCCCTGCTCACTCGTCTGGCCTCCTAAAGCCCCATTCCTCCATGCCCAGGATGACCGGAAGGACCAGGAGCGGAGGCTGTATTTTCAGAACTTTCCAGAGTCGCTGACTTCCCTTCTGGTGCTGCTGACCACAGCCAACAACCCCGACGGTGAGTGAGATGCCCACTGTCACGAGGGTCTGTTTGAAGTCCTGCCCCTTTCCGGGTTTCTTCCCTGGGGGCTGTGACAATCCCAGAGCCTAGAACGGGAAGGGGTTCTAGGCCAGCCCATGACATCACCTCCAACAGAGGATCGCCCAGCCTCCGCTTGAGGACCTGCAGAGATAGAATGTCCCCAAGGCGCCCGTCCTGGAGAAACATTTTATCTCCAAAACCTGCCTCGCTGGGGCCTCCCCTGCCTCCTTCATGGGCTCTGGGCTTCCTAGGGCCGGGGCGAAGCCCGCTGATAAGCCTCCAGGGGCTCCCTCTTCCCTTGACTCTTTCTGGGTCTGTACCCCGAATCCCACCACGTCACACCGTGACCTGTCTCCTGTCTCCCAGCACTTCCTTCTGCCCCAGCTCCGGGCACGCCTTCATCCCCATCTCCCGAATCCAAAACTCTCACCTCCTGTGTGGGGGAGGCCACCTAAACTCCCGTTAGCTCCCTGGGCTGCCATGTCCCTTGTGGATCTGCAGAAAGCTCGCGGTCTGTTTCAGCCCTTTTCCCACACCAAACCCTCTGCTGCGATTGACTTTTTGAGCCCCAGTGGGGGACTTTACATTGTTGGAGAGGCTGGTTCTGTCCAGCCAACTCAGTGTCACCAGTGGGTGAGAAATCTCCACTTTTCCCTTGGGATGCAGGAAGTTAAATCCACCACTGAGTATGTGTGGGGGCAGGGTGGGAGGAAGAGGGACGACTCCTTTGCTTATGAGCCTCTGTCTCCCTCCTCTCCTCGAGGCGCCCCTTCAAAGGCTCCCCCCGCCTCCCACTCCTTCCCACGTCCTCCTGATCTGAACTAGCTCTGAGGTTGGGAGTGTCTTTCTTTTGGATGGTTTTAATTCCTAATTTAATTAATTTAATTCCTAATTGTAGTGATGATTCCTGCATATTCCAAGAACCGGGCGTATTCCATCTTCTTCATCGTCTTCACTGTGATAGGTGAGCGAGCTCCCCACCCTGGGAGCACCTGAGATGAAGTCCTCTGGCCAACCCATGGGCAGCAGCCTCACTGACCGTGACGCCGAGAGTACGGGCGGGCCGGGGTCACCTCCTCTGACGTTGCCATCGGGCGGGCTCTGTGTCCCCAGTCACCCCCCACTTCATCATTATGGATTTATTGTGCAGCGTGGCCGGGGTCAGAGGGCTGGCCCCCGAGACAGGAAGACAGGCACCCTGACACTGTCAGATAAACTCGGATCCCTGGTCTGCATTGGTGGAGAGAGTTTCCACGCTGGAAGTTTCTGACCCTGGTGGAATCCCAAGTCTGCTTCCCTCTGTCCTCCCCTCCTCCCCAGTCTTTGGGTCATCCTAGAATCAGAGATCAGGAAGGGGCCTGGAAGAGGCCCAAGAGGCCATCCGGTCTGTCCCTTATTGGACAGATAAGGAAGCCGGCCCGCAGTGGGGTGGTGCCTTGCTCGCTTAGTTCCACGTGACCAATCAGCATTTACTGAACACCTGCTTTGTGCTGGCCCTGAGCTTAGTGCTCGGAGTAAGAAGGCTAAAGTGAAATAGTTCCTGTCCTCAAGAAGCTTCCACTCTAGCAGGGAAAAGAGAAATGCTTGTTGGCTTGGGCCAGGCTGGCCCCCGGGTCTCTGCCTCTCCACTGGTTCATGTGATCCGGGTCGTGCCATCCCCAAGCAGGGCATCCTAGCAAGGCTCCGGCTCGCTAAGAGTTCACACGGTTTGGAGAGGAGCGAGAGGTGCTTGGGAAGCTTCTGAAGCTGTGCTTAATTAGGCAAAGAAGGGGAGAGTGTGGAGGGGAAGCCAAGAGGAAGGGTGGGTCAGCAAGTGACTGCGTACTGGCCTGACCGCCGCGCCCTGACCGCCGTGGCCTGACCGCCCCCGCCCTGACCGCTGCACCCGCTTTCTCCCTCACAGGAAGTTTGTTTCTGATGAACCTGCTGACCGCCATCATCTACAACCAGTTCAGGGGCTACCTCATGGTGAGTCGGGGCCGGCACCTTCCTCGCGACGTTCAGGTGGGTCGTACGTGCTGGGGAAATGTCCTTTGAAGAAGGCCTCCCCCATGGGGCTTGATCAGAAGTAGCGAGAGAGATGGGTGGCTTGGCAGCCAGGCTGCGCGCTGCCGTGGAGGAGCTGAGTCACCTTCCCTGGGCCTGAGTTTCTCTCTCTGTTGTAGGGGTTGGACGGGGTGACCCCGAGACCTCTTCCTGCCCCCAGAGTCCATCGTTCTCAGGGTGGTCTTGGATGTCTTGTGGAAATTGAGGCAGAAGGGGGCACCGGAGGGTGTTTCCCAGGCCCGCTGTGGATGGTGTGTGCTTTTTTGGTGGGTAGAGGGGCCAGGACGTGTGATTTCATTGGGTGGGGTAAAGAAATCCCTTCTAAGCAGTACACAGTAGAAGGGAGGAAGGATTTATGAAGCGCCTACTGTGTGCCAGGAACTTAGTACTTTATAAATCTGTCTCGTTTGATCCTCACACCAACCCCAGGAGGAAAGGGCTATCATGATCCCAGTGTTACAGATGAAGAACTGAGGCTGACTTGCTTAGGGTCACACATCTAGTAAGTGTCTGAGGACATATTTGAACTCAGGTCCTTTGGCCTCCAGGCCTAGAGCTGTAGCCACTGGCAGCCTCGCTGCCTCTAAGCAGTTCTCAGCCTCAGGGTGCCCGGGGCTCCACAGCAGGGACTTCCCATTGTTACTGAGGCTCCCCGTGGCCGCCCCCGCCCTCACCCGCCTTGTCCCGTTGACCCATTTCTGGGGATGGGCCTCCATCCTCCTGGTCACCCAGAATCCGGAGCTCAGCTTCTGAGGTTAGCGCCCAGCAGAGACGGCCGGGGGCTGTGGGGGATGTCAGGGAAATGGGCTGCCCCAGAGGCCGGGGCTCCCTCCTCCTCCCAATGGAGGCTCAGGTGAGGACTGGATGACCGGTGCCCATGGGTGTGGGATGGACAGAGTGGCCCCAGGGTCCCTCCAGCCCTGAATGTCTGTGACGTTCCGGGTTTCATTTCAGCTTGAGTCTCCCTCCGTCCGGGCCTGGCTTAGAGCCTTGCACATAGTAGGTACTCACCCAGCATCAGAATGGAATGAGGGTCTCCTTTTCCCCTCCCCTCCTGGGGCCTTCTCTGCATCCTGGCTTGTCCCTGTGGCACTTTGGAGGCCAAGGCACGCATGGCCAGGCATGTGCACATGTGTGTGCGTGCGCACGTGCGTGAGCACGCATGTGGGGAGGGGTCCTGGGTTCAAGTCTAAGCAGAGCCCCTTTGCTGGCCCTCCGGGCCGCTTCTCCTTGGCAGGAATCGATTCAGTCCTCGCTCTTTAGGAGGCGACTGGGGATCCGGGCGGCCTTCGAAGTCCTCTGCTCCCTGGAAGGAGCAGAAATCCATCCTCTTGTGTGAGTGGGGGCTGGGCGGGGCAGAAGGGGCGGCCCTCATTTCCCTTCCCGCTGATGGCAGCTCAGATGGCTCCCTCTGCTTCCGGCCCAGTCTGAGCTCATTCATTCAGTGAGATGTCCCACTTGTTCCAGCCTCACGAGGTGGCCTGGGCTGGGCATGGGGGAGACCCCCAAATCAATGAGGTGAGACCCTGTCCTCGGGGGGCTTCTGCTCTGGTGGGGAGGTAAGCCATGTGTGCGTATGAATAGAGCACGAATGCACCCCGTGCCACCTTGGGCCATTCACTTCATCTTTCTGGGCCTCCGTTTCCAAGTTAGTAAAATGACCACGAGGCCTTTGAGAGCCCTTCAGGAGCCACACCCGGAGGCCCAGGGGGCCTTGGCTTTCCCCTGTCCTGCCTTTGGCAGTCAGCCTGGTGAAGCCTGTGGCCCCTTCTCAGAATTAGGTTTTTAAATGCATAAAGTAAAATACGTAGGATTCCATAGGAAACCAATCACGTTGAAATACAATTTTCAAAATGTTAAAAATAAAAAATAAATAATAAAAACAGATAATAAAAATGTATGAATATATACATAATAAATAATGAAAATAAAAATAAAAATAAAAAATAAGCCCAGGTTAAGAATTCTTGTTTCTGGGTCTGAGCACCTGTGAAGAATAGAGAGGCTGGCTTTAAGGTGTTGTGAGATCAGCTGAGGGAAACTCCCTCACAACTGGAGATCAGGGATGGCTTCCTGGAGGAGGGGGCCTTTGGGCGGGGCCTGGAGGGCAGGTAGTGACAAGGTTCTACCTTAGGGAGGGAGGTGGGAGGTTTGGGGGAAGGAGCGACTGGGCAGCTGGAGGCCAGAAGGGAGAATTGGCTTCAGGTATTTCCTAGAACTTTCTAAGATGACACTTGGGGGGGCGGGGCGGGGCTGACAGAACCTGCCACAAGCAGAGGCAGGTGTAGACTTGGCAGGAAAAAACAACCCGGAACCTAGACTGGGAGCTCTGCTGTAGTGGCCTGGGCTGCCTCAGGAGGTAGTGAGCTCCCCATCCCTGGCAGGATCTCCAAGCTGAAGTTGGATTCCCTCTCATGGGGGGGCGGGTGTTCCTCGGGAGTTTCTGGCTGAGCGGTGGCTTGGGTCAGAAAGCTGGAGCTGTGCTCCTGACAAGCTTGGGCAGACGCTTCTCACTGGGGCTCTGGCCTTGGCCTCCTTGCAGAGTCGGTGTTAAGCCGGAAACGTTCCTCCAGGTGATTCAGAAAGTGAAAATGAGCCTTTACTGCAAGGAAGCCATCATCCAGGTAAGTGGCGGCTTGATCCCCCATGCCAGGCGCCCACGCCAGGCTCCGTGCCAGTGGGGCATCTCTTGTCCGGGCCTGCCTCTGCCCCGTGTCAGCTGTGGTCCGGAGGCTTCCTGGGGAGTCATGGGGAGAGCGTCCTGGTGTGAGGCAGAAGCTGCCCGAGGACCCCGGGGGCTGCCTCAGGTCGGGGGCATGAGCTTTGATGATAATTAGCCGAGATATTTTCCTTCCCGTTGAAAGGGAAACAGGCCTCAACCTCGTGGTTCCTGGGGGATGCGGCCCCGGGGGCCGGCCCGTGCTCCCACGCGCTTCTGGGGCCCCACAGGCGGCTCTTTTCACTTTGACCCGTCTCTGGCTGGCGCCCTGTGTCCCTTGGAAACAAACCCGGGGTTCTTAATAGATTTTCATCCAGACTTTTCTCTCGTTTGAAGACTGTTGGATCCCACGCCGGCGGACTGATGTCGGCTGATCAGTTCCAGAGCGTCTTCGAGGAGCTGGACAAAGATGCGATTAAGGAGGTCCGTCACCCCCTGAAACCCGGGGCTGCTGGAATTTGGGGGGATTTCTGTTACGTCCATAGTTGAGTCTCCTCATCTCCGCCGACACAGCCAGATGCCTCGTAGGCGGCCCACGAGCCTCAGCACCGGCACGGTTCTTCCCAGCTCGGCTGTCGTCCTTTAATGAGCTGAAACTGGTCCGGAGAGCCTGGGGTGGAGAGGAGTCAGGCCTTAAGCCTGGCGTCTGTCTGCTGCCGTGACCGTGCCCCCAACTCTTGGGTCTTTGTGGGGCCTCTCAGTTGGTTGATGCAAGAGAAGCCGTGCTCAGTGACCTTTCCTTTGAGAAGTGCTTGGGGATGGCTGGAAGTGCTCTTGGGGGGTGGATTGGGGGAGCTCACCCGGAGAGTGGCGTAGCTTGCTTTATTTTGTTTAAATTTTCCGTTTTGTTCTTGCCTCGTTGGAGGAGGGCAGTCCTTCCCATTTAAAAAACCAGACAAGCCGAGGCATAAAGAGGCTGGCTCCAGCCCCTCTGAAGTCCTTTCTTCACGCTGTTTATCTGTTTTTTGTTTTTTTCCCAGCATCCTCCTCGGCCCGCGTACCCTTCCACTGTCCTGCAACGTGCGCAGTCTGTCTTTGGCCACCGCTATTTTGACTACTTGGGGAACTTTGTCGCCTTTGGAAACATCGTTTCCATTTGTGTGAGCACTGTTTCTTGACGTGTGGCCGCCATCTTACTTCTTTTTCCATCTGCCCTTGGGTTGTGGTCCTACTGTTGTCTTTCCTGGATTTTTTAATTAGGGGTTGGGGTGGAGGAGTTTGTGGCTTGGCCTTTTTGTGTATATGATTCAGGTGGCCCCAGGTGACACGCCCTCTGCTCTCCTCCCAGGTGTTCTTGGTGATAGACGCGGACAAGTTGCCCAGTGAGCGGGATGACTTCATTCTGGGGGTAAGCTTCGGGCTTGCCTCTTCTATTTCTACGTCTGCTAGGTAGCAGCGGTCCGCGTCGTCCACCTGTGCATCTGGGCGTTGGTCTCCCTCCCTTCCCAGGCCGGGGTGGGGGACGTTGGACGCCTTCGTGTGGCCCTTTAATGTGTCCATCAGAAGGAATGGGCAGCATTTTTGTGTAGAAACGAAGGTGCTCCTCCCCTTCTGTGCCGTTCTCTTCACTAAGCCCTGGGGACGCCCCTCTCAAGGGCTCCGTTTTCCCTGCTGTGAGAGTTCATTTATAATGATGATCCTGAGGCCCCCAAGTCGGCACAGGAGGGATAGACGATGCCCGTGTGAGTGCTGACTTCGCTTTATGGGATCAGTCTTCAATTGTCTGCAGTCTGTAGCCCGGCTGCCCACTCTGGTGGCTGTGGGCCTTGAGGGGCCAGGCCCTGCCAGGAGCCTGCCAGATGCAGGGCATCCTGGGGACTCTGTGTCACCGCAAAGCTCTCGTGGTGAATCGTGGCGATTGTTGGCTGTTTTATACGGCTTCATTTGCCGCCCCCTAGGAGAGGGTTTTGTTGATTTTTTGGGGCAGGGGGACCTGTGGAATGAAATGGGATCCTTTCTTCTGCCCTTTGAGTTACAAAGTCATCCAAAAGCATTTAACAGACTCAAATAGCTTTTGGTCGTTATCACGGATCTGGGGCTGAAAGAGGCCTCGGGCTATCCAACCACCTCGTTTTACATTTGAGGAAACTGAGGCTGGTTATGTGACTCGCCCAAGGTGGCCCCGGCAGCAAGTTAGAGGTGAGAGTTGAACTCACGTCTCCTGACTCTAGGCTAGCGCTCTTCACTGAGTGTTGTGTCAGATTGATGGATTCTAATCAGACACTGACCCTTACGCAGGACACCCCGATTCTTCTTGGTGGCAGACCCGGGCCCACGTGGTCATCCGGAACGTTTGGTCTGTCCGGACCCTCTTTTCCGGTCCCCTCGAGCCCTCATGGCTGGCAGGAGACCAGGCTGGCCGCCCACCCGCCTACCGTCTTTTGGAGGCCTCTTTTTGGGGCTCCACTGACTAGGATTTTCCCATTTCACGCCTCCAAGGTCCTGAACTGTTTCTTCATCCTCTACTACGTGCTGGAGATGCTGCTGAAGGTGTTTGCACTGGGCCTGAAAGGCTACGTCTCCTTCTTCAGCAACATTTTCGATGGGATTCTCACCGTGATCCTGCTGGTAACAGCTACCAATGGCGGGATGGGGAGGGAGGGCGTGGGGGAGGGCAGGCTTGAGCCTCCGCCGGACACGGCCTCCTGGTGGTCAGCCTCGGTCTTCCCCTAGGGACCGAGGAGGGGCACCCCGCCTAACGAGGCCCACACTGATTGCCCCCTGGGTGATCCCGGTGGCTCATGGCTGAGCAGGGGGAGGGATGGTGCATCCAGCAGAGGTCAGGGAGCTCCTTTTCCAAAGGCCTTTGGGGGCTGAGCCCTTTGGGCAGGCGGGCCGGCCTGGCTATCCCATGGCTGTGGCAGGCTCAGAGGCCTCCATCCTGTGTGTGGCGCTGTTCCCGTCCCTAGGACGGGGCGGTGGATGGGCTGCTGTGAGTTTTTCCACCCCCAGACCCAGCTCAGCATTGTTGTAGCTGTGCCTTCTTCTCTTTTGTAATCAAAGGTTTTGGAGATCTCCACTCTCGCCGTGTACCGATTTCCTCATCCAGGCTGGTAGGTGACCTGACTAGGATGCTGGCCTCTTCTTCCCTGGCCCTCCAGGAGCAGCCATGAGATGGTGCAGGGCCTGCTTGCGTGGGTCCTTCAGCTGGTTCTGCGGGTGCCTGAGCCCTGCTGAGATGGGGGCCCCTGGGCTCGGTAGCAGTGCCCCCTGTCCCCCACTCCCCACCCCTGGTCAGGGCAGGGTCCCTGGTCTGCCTGCAGCACAGCAGGCTTTGGAACCGTGGGCGAGGAGCTCACTTTGCGTCGCCAAGGTAAGATGGGCTGGCTCCCTGTTGGGCGCTGTAGACGGCCCATTGTCCTTCCCCTGAGGGCTTGAAGCCTCGCTGTGTCTGTGCACGTGGCCGGAGCGAATGACCCTGACTGGGCGGCACGGGGCTCCCCTTGAGCTGGGGGGCTCTTTGCTGCTTAGGATTTTGGCTTCTCCCCAGCTCTGGGACCCCAAATCCCTGCCATCATCTGTGCCTCAGTTTCTCCCTCTGTAAGATGAGCTCCCGGGCTCCTTTGACATTCTAGGATTCCATTTGAGAGAGAAGATAATATTAATAATAACAACAGTAACGAGGATGATAATATAACAACAGAGATAACATTAAAACCACAACTCAGTCAGTGACAGAAGCCTGTGGTCTTGATCTCCTGGCAGAGTCGTTTGCAGGGCATTAAACTTGAAAGAATAAACAACATAAAAGACTCGGCAGGAAAGACGCTCGCCTCAGGACTGTTTCTGTGTGAACTTCATGGAACGAAGTGAGGAGAGTGCAAGAATTCCAGCCTCGACAGCGGGCAGAGGAGCTGGTGTTCCTGGAGCCTTTTAGGGCTTCTAAAGCACCGTTTTGGCATCATCTTGACGGCTGGTGCCCTTATCCTCATTTTACAGATGAGGAAACTGAGGCTCAGAGTTTAAAATGACTTGCCCAGAGTCACAGAGCTAGTAAGTGCCTGAGACAGGATTTGAGCCCAGGTCTTCCTGACTCCAGACCTGGCATTGTAGTCACTCTGCCCCAGTGGGGCAGGGGTCATAAGAGACACTTCATTTTGTGCCTGATTCCAAGTCTCGTCATTGATGACAGGATCATAGAGGTCGAAGGGACCTTGGAGGTCATCTGTGTAACCTCCTTTTATAGAGGAAGAAACTGAGGCACTAAGAGGGAAGGTGACCGGCCTAAGGCCTCACTAAGAGGGAAGG